CTCATTTACCAAAAATCTTATAAACGCAGATCAGTTCATACACCATAAATAATGAGTTTAACTCAAGCAATACTATAAAAGACGAGTTTATCTCAAGCAGAAAGTTTGGGATTCAACATTCCAACTCCACAGTAGCAGGTAAACCATTTGAGCTCTGAATTTTCGTTGTTATATTGATATTTTTCCCCTCACTAAAAACTTGTGCAAAATAATTGGCCACCCTAGAAAACCTGGCATGCCTTTGAACCTTATACAAACACTTGAAAGCAGAGGTGCCATAAATCAACTAGGGTGCCCAAATGAGGTCATTCTCCTTGTCTTCATTTTCAAGAAATTTATTCTTTAGAAATAAATCTTTTTGAAAGTTCATACTTACAATCAAGACAGCTTGGTTCCCCTTTTGCTAAGGCCCAGAAAGGACAATTAAGATTAATTTTGAGAGGAAGAGGCAATGGAGAAGACCTGTTAGCAAAAATTGCACGTCAACAATCTAATGAATCATCTCAAAGAGTTAGAAAAGGAAGAGTAAATCAATCCCAAACCCAGCAGAAGGAACCAAGATCAGACCAGAACTAAAGGAAATCAATAACAAAAAAACTATCCAGAAGATAATTAAACAAAAAGTTGGCTCCCTGAAAAGATAAGCAAAACCAAGAGACCTCCTGCTAGATCAACCAAAACCAGAAAAGGACCCCAATAAGCTCAATCAGAAATGAACAAGGAGATATTACAACTGACAGCACAGAAACACAAAACATTATCCCTGAATACTACAAAACTCTCTATATACAAAAACTGGAAAATATTGAGGAAATGGACAAATTCCTGGAAACACACAACCTCCCCAGGCTCAACCAGGAAGAAATAGAACTTCCAAACAGACCAACATCAAGCAATGAAACCAAAGCTGCAATAAAAAACTTTCCAATGAAGAAAATTCCTGGAACAGATGGCTTCACAGCTGAACTCTATCAGGTCTAAAAAGAGGAACCAGCATCCATGTTGCAGAAATTACTTAACAACATGGAGAAGGAAAGAATCTCCCCCAACTTCATGAGGCCAAGCATCACCCTGATATCAAAGGCAGGAAAGAACACAAGGAAAAAGAAATTTGCAGACCAACATCATCCAGGAATACAGATGCAAAAATTCTCAAAATTCTAACAAACACAATTCAGCAGCACACCAAAAACAAAAACAAAACAAAACAAACAAAAAAATAATCCACCAAGACCAAGTGGGCTCCAACCCAGGTCCAATATAAGCAAATCTACAAATGTAACCCATCACATAAACAGAAGCCAAAAAAAAAAAAAGACCACATAATCAATGATCATCTCAATAAACACAAAGAAAGCATCGAACAAAACTTGGACCCCATAACATGATAGTAACTGCCAACAAAATAGGGGTAGATGGAACATACCTCCAAAATTAGAAAAGCCATATACAAAACCCCATAGCCAACATCAAATTGGACAGGGAAAAATTAAAAGCATTCTCATCTAGACTAGGAACCATGCAATGTTGCCCACTATCATCACCTCAACACTGGAAGTCCCAGCCAGAGGAATCAAGCAGAAGAGGTAAAACCATCACCCTCTGCTGACAGTATGTTCTTACATCTAGAAAACCCCAAAGACCTTCAAGAGACTCCTGGGATTGAAAAATAAATTCAGCAGAATCTCAGGATACAAAATCAACACACACAAATCAATGGCATTCCTATGTTCCAACTATCAACCTGACTGAAGAAGGAAATCTCAGAGGACATAAACAAATGGAAAAACATGTCATGCTCGTGGGTTGGCAGCAACAACTCTGTCATTGCCTGTGGTCTAGTGGCTTTACTGCCATGGCCTCGATTTGTTTCCTGGCCAGTAAATGAGAATTTAAGAAAAAAAACAAAACAAAGAAAACACTGTCAATACATGTACATTATCCAAAGTGATCCACAGATTCAACACAATCTTCACCAAAACACCAATGTTATTATTAATTTATTTGTTTTGAGACAGAGTCTCACTTTGCCAACCTTGGTAGAGTGCTAAACTGTCATAGTTCACAACAATCTCAAACTCTTGGGCTCAAGCAATCCTCTTGCTTTAGCTTCCTGAGCAACTGCGACTACAGATGCCAGCTACAATGCTGGCTATTTTTAGAAGCAGGGTCCCACTCTTGGTCAGGCTAGTCTCAACTCCTAAGCTCAGGCAAGTCTCGAACTCCTGAGCTCAGACAATCCACCCACTTTACCCACTCAGAGTGCTGAGATTACAGGTGTGAGCCACAGTGCCTGGCCAACATCAATGTTATTTTTGCAGGTCTAGAAAAGCACATTTCACATGGAACAAAAAAGAGCCTGAACAGCCAAAGCAACTCTAAGCAAAAAGGACAAATCAGGGAGCAGGACCCCACCAGATTCCAAGCCGTGCAACCAAAATAGCATGGAATTGGCACAAGAACAGAGGACACAGACAGAAACAGAGGATCAGAACAGAAAACCCAGATACAAAACCATCCCACACTGCCATCCAATCCATGACAAATCAAATAACAACAGGCACTGGGAAAAATAATCTCCAGTCAATGAATGGTGCTGTGAATTTGGGACAGCTACATGTAGAAGGCTAAAACAGGATTTGCACCACTCACTCTCACAAAAATTAATTACGATGGACAACAGACTCAAACCCAAGACAAAAAACCATAAGATTTCTGGAAGAAAATTCTAGAAAAACTTCCACAGACATTAGCCGAAACAATCTATGAAGAAGACCTCAAAGGCAATCACAGCAACAACAAAAATCAACAAATGGGCTGCACAGCCAAGGAAATGATCAACAGAGTGAACAAACAATCCACAGAATGGGAGAAAAATCTGCATGCCATATATCTGACAAAGGGCTGAATCCACAAAGAACTCACAAGAAAAAAATTAACCCCACAAAAAACAAAGTGGGCAAAAGACAAGAACTTTCCAAAAGAAGAAAAATCAATGGCCAACAAATACAGAATGCACCTCTAAATCAAAATTAGGCTACCTGTACTTTTCCTTACATACTGTACAAGCATTACCAATAATCCCTTTTCCTCACACTCCATACAAGTGGCATCACAATACGCAGTACAGAAATTCACCACATAAGTGGTGCAAAAATTTGCTAACAACCAAACACAAACAATATGGGGGAATTCCCAACACAATCTAAAATGCCATGGCCTAAAATCCTCTTTCCAAAATTTTTCTCCAATGGACTTTGAGATGGAGCTTCCTTATATTTGCAACAAAACTCACGATTAAATAAATAATACCAGGGATCCTTAACACAAAAATCCCAGAGCCTATCAACCAAATGGGCATCCAAGGAGGACAAATGCTAACTCCAAACGGCTCCTCAGTATCTCAAATGCCCTGCGGAGATGGAAGGTAAATTCTTCCCAAATGGCCACTTAGTCCTCCTGTTTCCTGGGAAATGCAAATGAACTGTGAATTCAAACTAGGTTCCCTAGTTCCACTCATGACTTTCATCCCCCAAAAGGTACCTCGAAACAAGCAAAACCAACAGGAAGGTCTGAAGCCCAAGCCCCTGTATGGGTGGAATCATGGTCTTGATGTGCACGCCAGGGAACTTACCCCCCAATAGGCCTGGCATCTAGACACTTTCCAAATCCATTTTCTTCCTCCTAAGTCCGTTCAGCTGTGGGGAACTGTGTCTACTTCAAAAAGACTAAGACAGAAGTTCCCAGAGCTAAACAGTCTCTAGCCTTGTTCTCTCATCTTGAAAAGAAGGTGCTCCTACTCGTGAAGACCCACAGCTTGGACCCAGGGCTGCTTCCTACCTCTTCCAGCAGTAGCATGGTACCATTCCACCAGAGTCCTGCTGGGCCCAACCAGGGACACCAAAATCTGTTACTGAAAGCTTAAGACTTGTCCCTGATGCCATATCAAAAAAACAGGGCCAAGCAATTTGAGAAGGAAAGAGAAATTTATTACTTTGCCAGCAAAGAAGAAAAATATCAGACTGTTGTCTCAAAGTCCAAATTCCTATATGAAATGTACAGTAGAATCTCCATAGTTGACCACCTCCCTACATTGACCACCTCTTTAAATTGACCTAATTTTTATAGACTGGTCATGCATCACACATATTTTTCAGTATAGTAGGCCAAGTTGCTTATTTTGACCATCTCCATATGTTGATCAGTTTGTTACAGTCTCTTGGTTGGTCAACTTACAGAGGTTCTACTGTATTTTCAAATTACTATATTTTTACTATGGTTTTATAGGGATATAATCCCATTATAAGTTGAGGAATTCTGTAGTGCCTGGCACAGAGCAGGTATTCAATAAATATTACTCACCTCCACCTTCCTTATATCTCAGGTAAAGTTTCAATGACCTCTCACTTTCCTTTCTAATATTATTTTTGATTGTTGAATGGTTTGCCTTCATTTTTAACCAGATCTGACATATGCTAAGAAGCGTGTGGGTGGGAGCACCAGACACAAAGACTTAGCATAATGGGAATGATTTTGAAAAACAAACATCAATAAGTAATTTATGAAAGTCTATTTCCTGCCCCTCGGGTTTTTAACAGGCATATAATAAATCATTGCATGGGTCGTGATTTCAGTTTGATACTATGTTCCTAAGTTTCAAGGAACGAAACTTTGGGGGGCTCTGTATCCAAAACTCACCTGGTTCAGAAGTCCAAACAGGCTCTTGATCATTAACCCAATTTACACAGCATCATGGGACTGACTGCCTTTTGTGCTGGCTTGAAGTTAAAATAGTTCACTGGGTCAAAAGCAGTGCAGCATGGTCAATAAATGTTGGCTGAGTCCAGAAACTGCAGCTTGGCTATTTCTTACATTGATTTCTAGGATGTTTCCATGAAATCAAAGATGATTGCTTCACTTGGCAGCTGGCTGGCTGAAAACTGGAGGCAATTCTGTCCTGGCTAAGGGCCATGGCCCTTTCGTGGGCTTTGGGACACATTTTATCGGGTTGTTTTTACTTTCTGGCGGGCTGCCGGCTTGCCCTCACGGGTCAGACTCTCCGCGTGGTGCAGGGATGTCTCCACCCGCAGGGATGAGGCCCTGACGTGACGGGAGGACGTTTCTGTGCGCTGCGAGGAGGTTTCCACGTGCTGGGAGGACACCTCGAGGACGTGAGGGAGGCGTTTCCCAGAAGGGGAGAGTGAGGGATTCTCGCTGCGGCGCTGGGAGGTCTCCACCTGCCGAGAAGATGTTCGCACCTGCCGAGAGGAAGTCTCCACGCGGTGGGACGACGACTCCACGCGGATGGTCGAAGTCTCTTTGTAGCGGGCGGTCCCCACCCGGGGTGAAGTGGGCTTATCCCCTAGGGGTGAGGCCATTCTGCGGGCGTAAGGGGGCCAGTGAGGCCTTGGGAGACCCCACAATCCAATGGTCACCTTCAGTTACGCCTCTGGGTTAGGTCATAGGGTAAGAAATGACGTCACAGGCGAAAGCGCCGAGATCAACGATGACGTGGAGCACCATAGTCTTTTGGAGGCTTAACTGTCGCTTCACAGAACTGGGCCACTGCCCTAGCCCTCAGGCGCTCCCGCAGCTCTGGCACCGCCCTCTCGCTGCTTGGGAGCCACCGTGGGAGGAGCCGGCCGGCGTGGGCGGGCCAGGGATGGGCGGAGCCGTCCGCCTCCTAGGCGACGCTATGCCCGCCTCCCGTATCCCAGAAGGCCACGGGACCGGAAGAGGAGCTGTGCCTTCCGGAGCCGCTTGTGCCACACGAAGCAGTTTTTCTGTCAGACTGGTGGCGATTTAGTGTCTTTGCTTGTTATGGCCGCTGCCGTCGCTATGGAGACAGGTGAGTAGCGTACTGAACCTCAAATCTTCACAGATATAACTGTCCTCGGCCCAGTCCCCTTCTTCTCCTTCGCCGGGGCCTTTTTTCAGGCGTAACTCTCGGCAGGGTTAAGGGTTTGGACAGGGAGGCAACAGGGCTCTTGGAGCGTCTGGAAAGACGAAGGTAGTTTTTACCTTTTTAGTAATTTGGTTCGTCCGCACATCCTTTGTCTTCATTTGCTGTAAAACACCAACCGCACTGACTCTCCGATGAAGGAGCCCCTAAGGGAGAGGACTTGAATCTTAAATCGTCTCCGTTTTGATTGGTATTTTTGCTTTTCGCATGAGTTTGCTTAAGTTTGAAATATCGTCAACAAACTTGTGTATCATTCTACCATTGATGTTTCTTACATACGCACACATTGTTTTGTCTTTCACCCTCTCCGTGGTCTCTTTCAGCTTGCTTCCTGAACCGAGTTAGCACTTAGCTTTTACATAACTTAATCACTGTCAGCAATCCTTATAACGCATTATTAAGGTAGGGGAACTTACAGTTACTGCCACCTACCTCAATGATCACTGTTAAAATTCCTACATAGTAGCCCACAAGTGGTAGGTATCTTGCAACGTTTGTATCGCTGTTTTCTTTTTCTTTTTAAATGACTTCTCTATAACTTTAGAGAAACTTTCATCTTAATCCTTTTAATCAGGGCTCTGCTTTTCTTAGATTTTTAAGGAAGGTGTATCTTCCTAACCCCCTGCCAGGTTAGGAAGACGATCAATCACAGCATTAGGCAGGTTCCTTTATTGTTGTTTCTTTACTACAGGTCAATATTAAATATAGTGGCCTTTGTTGTGGATGACTTTCACTGTTTTTTCTTCTAGATGATGCTGGCAATCGACTTCGGTTTCAGTTGGAATTGGAATTTGTGCAGTGTTTAGCCAATCCAAATTACCTTAATTGTAAGTTGTTAAGGACCTCATTAAATTGAGATACTATTAATGATTTCTGACAGTAGAGTTGCAATTCATAATAGATCTATTTTTATATATTCTCAATATTGAATGTCATTACACTTATGCTGCCATATAGGTATAATTGAGTCTTGGGACTTTTGTTTTGAATTCAGTGTGTTTTGGTGGGGATGTTACATAAGTAAATTCTTTATATTAGGGGTCACAAATAATAGGATGGGTTTGACCTGCAGATCTTTTTTTTTGTTGTTGTTTATGCCTTTCAGTTCTTGCCCAGAGAGGTTACTTCAAAGACAAAGCTTTTGTTAATTATCTTAAGTACTTGCTTTACTGGAAAGAACCAGAATATGCCAAGTATCTAAAGTAAGTTTAACTTTTATAATTCTAAATATGTTTATAATAATCCAAAATACTGATGTTTAACACACTTTCTTGCTTCACATTGGAAAAAGTATATTTTGGTTGCAACCAATTTCAAACGGAGAGGGAATTTATACCCCTACACAGCCTTTGATATCTCCTTCTGTCTCTCAACTCTTCATCATGAGAGGGCCTCACTTGCAACTCTTTGGAAGTACTCTAAACTTTCTCTTTGTTCTTCTTAAATAAAATTTATCTTTGTGACACTGAACCAAAAAAAGAAAAAGTGTATTTTGAATCTGACAACGTCTTTCAGTTGTCACCTGATTGGATTGCTGCAATTGGATTACTGTAGTAATCTATCAATGGGTTATCACTGCTTCCATTTTCACTTTTCTTGCTCTGTAGCCCCCCTGAAAAAACCCAAAGCAAAACAGCTTTCTACACAGAAGCCTGATTTGATCTCATTGTTAATCAGAACACTTCACTTTCTTGCTTAGAAACTTTAGCTTTCCTTTTCATGTAGAACAAAATGTAATCTCTTTTCTTGAACTAAAGCCCTATATGATCTGGTCCTGTCTTGTCTGACCTTATCTTTTACCACTCTCCTTTACTTACTGGATTTCTGATCCAAGGAACTCAAAATCTATAAATGTATCAACATAGTCTTGAAAATTAAGGTTGAAAATTAAGGAACACAGAAAAGAGGTACTTGTAAGGAAGGTGTTTCTGGGGTTTTCTGGAGGAAGTAAACTTACCTGATTCTTAGAGTGTCTATTGTTTCTTTAGGGCCTCTTAGGTGCCAAGAACTATGCTAAATGCTTCATTTCCATTAGCTCATTAAAAATATATGTATATAAAGTATATTTATTTGCCATGAGGATGTTTAACATATACTTCATGCTAAGGCTTACTAAATTCTAAGAAGCATATAATCACAAACCTATTCGATTTTAATGGTTAAAAAGAGTTGAATTCCTACCTGTTTTGTCTTAACCAGGTAGAAAGAAAGCAATAGCAAAACTTTTTTAAACAAAGTTTGAGAGGAAAGTATTTCATGTTTGTTCTTTATCTAAGTCATTTTTCTGATCTGTGTCCAATAATAAAGATTCCATACATACTCATGTTGCCTGTAGGACCAATACCCTTTGTACCCTTATTGACTTTTTATATACTCATTTAATAATTCAAAGAAAAGTTTTTTTTTTATTAGATTGCACTGTTAGCCAGATGTTAGAAAGTTTTTCTTTACATTGTTATATAATAAACCTCATAGCTTCAACCTCTTTGTCCATGGACTAATACAGACCCAGCCTGTGTCCTCTTGAGGACAACAGCCCTTCAGATTTTGTAAATATAAGAGAAGTTGTCAGTTAATCCCTGTTGTTATTTTATTCAGTCTGTACAAAAGTTTTAGTTTAATAGTTGCTAACAATTAAAGATTGGAAAGTAACAACTCAGGTTTCCAGCTACTCTTTAAAATCTGGAAAAGAAGGTAACCCCAGGTCAACAATTGGTTGGAGCTGAGAGCAGCTGTTTCTACTAGGCACTTTGCACCACTTGGCCTGCTTCACTGATAGCCAGTACATGCAACTATGATGGCTCTCCTACATCTATTTTTCTCAAGTATCTAGCTGTTGAACTAAATCCATGGCTTCCAAACTTCTCATGAATTCGGGTGTCCTCCTTTGGATATTTAGCAGTTGAACCTCATGCAGTTCAGCCAAGAGCTAAACACAGGCCTTTAGATGTGGTCAGAGTACGGTTGCCAAATGGCATTTCTTTTCTTCATGAGATCATTACACATCTATTAGTTTAACTTACGTATAATTACTTAAGGGCTCAGAGATCACATTGTTAACTTGCTAGGAGTTTTATTTTTGCATTTTTTTTTTTTGGCTGGGGCTGGGTTTGAACCCGCCACCTCTGGCATATGGGGCCGGCGCCCTACTCCTTTGAGCCACAGGTGCAGCCCTGCTAAGAGCTTTATTTCAGTTATGGCAGGGGCCGGGTTTGAACCTGCCACTTTCAGTATATGGGGCCGGTGCCCTACTCTTTGAGCCACAGGCACTGCCCCGTAGGAGCTTTATTTCAACTAAAATCTTTAACTCCTTATTTTTATCAGTGCTATTAATTCAGTTTTCCATTCATATCGTGTTTAGTTTTAAAAATCTAAATGCCTAATTTTCCTGTTATACCTCTTCTATTTCATCTTGTCAACTTGTAGCCTATCAAAATATTAGAGCCTTTCAGAGAATATAATTCCTTATTATCATCGAATGTATTCTGAGCATTGTCTTCTACAGGTTTGATGTGATGGTCACTGCATGTCTAAATTCCAATTATTTACTAAATGCTACTTGAGACCATTCTCTTGGGTGTCCCATTATTTTACAGTTGAAAGCCAAACAGCTGGTATTCACACTCAGTAGTCTTTTTAACTACTGATGCTGTCATAAAAAGAAACTAGCCAGGATAGGTGTGAATAAAGCATTTTAGGCTAAGCTGCCAATAAGCAATAGCATATTTCTGAAGTATAGTTAGTAAACTGTTATTATTTTGGAAGGATAGCATGGAATTGGGTCCTGCTATTCAATGTGCTCTTTAGATCCTCAGCATTGGTATCATTTGGGTGCTTGGTAGAAATGCAGAGCTCAGGTCTCACCCCAGATCTACAGAATCAAAGTCTGTATTTTAAGAAATGATTGATATATACATGAAAGTTTAAGAAGCATTGCTTTAAGTAGTACACTTTTCAAACTTTAGTCATTTGCATAGTACTTATCCATTTTGATATGTTTTGTCTCATTTAAATTTTGTCTTTTTAATTTAAAATAATTCGACCAACAGAATAGCTGGAAAAGTAGTAAAGGTAATTTCTGTATATTCTTTGCCCAGAAATTGTAATTGTTAACATCTTTTTTTTGCTTGTTTGTTTTTGAGACAGAGTCTTACTCTGTTACCCTTGGTAGAGTTCCATGGTGTCAGAGCTCACAGCAACCTCAAACTCTTGGTCTCAAGAGATCCCCTTGCCTCAGCCTTCCAAGTAGCTGAGACTAAAGGTGCTTACCACAATGCCCAGCTATTTTTAGAGATGGGATTCTCACTCTTGCTCAGGCTGGTCTCGAATCCGTGAGCTCAGGCAATCCACATGCCTTGCCTCCCAGAGTGCTAGGATTACAGATGTGAGCCCCTGCACCTGGTCCTAAATGTTAACATCTTACATTGTTAAAATGTACATTAAAATGTTACATCTTAAATGGGACCAGAGTACAGTGATAAAAATCAAAACATTAAGCTTAATGCTTAGGTTAGGTATTAACCTAATCTACAGACCTCATAGTTTGCCAGTTGTCCTGCTAGTATCCTGTATTTAGTGTAACATCCAGTCTAATTCATGTTGCATTTTGTTTTCATGTCTTCTTAAGTCTCCTTTAATCTGAATTTCTTGGTCTTTTTTTTTTTCCATGACCGGACAGAAGTGATATGTCCTTCTTGGTATGTCATGTCGGGAATCACATGAAGTCTCTTTGTCCCATTATTGATCACTTGGTTTTGGTGTGGTGCTTTAGCTTTCTCCATAATAATTTTTTTGTGTATTTATTAAGTATCTTTTGGGGAAATACTTTGAGATGATATAAATATCTTATTACATATACTTTGCCCACTAACTTTAGCATCTGTTGAAGGTACTTCCCTGATACTTGCCAGTTTTTATTGTAATTTTCTGATACTGTCATTCTACATTCATTATAATAGAACTTGTGTAAGTTGATCACCCAAGGGATTGTAACAAACCGGTCAACATACAGAGGTGGTCAACATAAGGAACTAGGCATACTGTACTTACACATAAATGTGGTGCATGACTAGTCTGTGAAATTAGGTTAACTTAGGAGGTGGTTGACTATGGAGGTTCTACCATAGTTGAAATTCTTTTGTAAAGAAGAATATTCTCTTGTTCTGATTTATAATTTCATTAAAGAAATATACATCAGTGTGGACTTTGGGATGTATTTTCTTGCTATAATTATTATAGATTTGGTCATTGGGGGCCCCTTCACTTGGCTTCTAAATATTTTTTGCCTTATCTCCATCAACTTTTAGCACTTTTCTTTTGGCACTAAGTAACTATTCTTGCCTCATCTTGTACCTTCTGTGTCATAGCCCTGGGAACAGCTGTTTCTCCAAGGTACTCTGGAAGATGCTATTTAAAGCAAATGGAGGCCAGGCATGGTGGCTCACTCCTGTAATCCTAGCACTACGGGAGGCTGAGGCAAGTAGATTGCCTGAGCTCAGGAGTTCAGGACCAGCCTAAGAGCAAGACCCTGTCTCTAAAAATAGCTGGACCTTGTGGCATGTACCTGTAGTCCCAGCAACTCAGGAGGCTGAGGCAAAAGAATTGCTTGAACCCAAAGAGTTTAAGGTTGCTTGTGAGCTACGATGCCACAGCACTCTACCGAGGGATGACAAAGTAAAACTCTTGTCTCAAAAAAAAAAAAATTGGGGGCACTAAATGTGCTCATTAATACTGTGTCAATGCTTCTAGGTCCTCTCAGTACACTAAGCTAAGAATTACATGTGTATATGTGTATACTCACATCTACGTATCTGTTATGCATGTGTGAATAAAGCCATGAGTACAAACTGGTGTTTTCAATCTTAGGTCAGTAATTCAGGGTTCACTCTAGCTTTCTTCTTTTATCTGTAACTTCCTTTCTAATAGCCAGAAATTTGATTCTCTTAATCCATAATATACTTGCTCAATCCTAGAATACATACGGAATTGCCATAGTTTTATGGAAAACTAGAGTATAATGTCCATACAGTTTTTAATTGATTCATTTTTAAATGAATGTTGTATTTTTATCACTATTGATGGAAAAATCAATAGCTATAAATTAAACACATAGTTACTAAAACAAATGTTCTTATTCTTCACATTGGAAACCACTAGAATTGCATGGTTCCCAAGTTTTCACTCTGCTTACCAGTTACTGTACTGTATGGTCTTGGGCAAGTTATTTAATCTTTCTGAATTTACATTTTCTCACTTCGACAATTTTGCTTAATATTGACTTTTGATGATTGGCCACTATGCAGAAGCAGAAGGAAAAGCCTTTTTACCAAAATATACTAAGTTAATTTTATAGGAACGTAGGCCAGAAGATCATTTTTAAGAGAATAACTGAATTAGAACTTGGCATTATTGACTTAAATTATATTGATCATTAACTTATAAACTTAAACCCAGGTACCCTCAGTGTTTACACATGTTAGAACTACTCCAATATGAACACTTCCGAAAGGAGCTGGTGAATGCTCAATGTGCGAAATTTATTGATGAACAGCAAATTCTGCACTGGCAACACTATTCCCGGAAGCGGATGCGCCTTCAGCAAGCCTTGGCAGAGCAGCAACAGCAAAATAACACATCAGGAAAATGAAAAGCCGGATACAGACTAGGCTCTTAAGACTGTGTATATAACGCATGTATATAATGTATTTCTTTTGTACAGTGAAGACAAAAAACTTTATCTACTTTTACTGTGGTAGCACCTAAAATCTTTAGAGTGTTTTTTTATCCAACTTTCTGCTAATAGATTATTTCCTTTAAATCAAAATTGTTCTACTTTGATTTCCCTGTGGATTTATAGATTTTTATTAACATTTAACATAATCACCTGAGTAAGAATGGAAAATTTGGTGCTTTAAAGAAGGCAAAACTCTAAGCCTCGCTTTGTTACTGACATCCAGTGGTGCCTTGGACACAACCACCTCCTGTAACCTTACGATCTTGCACATCAGGAAATAAGAGGAATGGAGTCAGGGACCTCTTTAAATCACAATGCAGGAACTATATAAAGGGTCTTAAATTCTTTAGGAATTACCATTTGCTTTGCAAGATAGCTTTAAGAATCAGTTATATCTGACTGATTTGATGGCAAAATTAGTGGTAAACTAATAATTGGACTCTTGACCTTAGATTAGAACAAAGATGAGAAGCCTGAAATACACGTGATCATTTGGAAAACCAACACTTATTTCAGGATACCACAAACCAGGTGTTATGTGTTAAGTGCTTCCTTGCATTTTTATTCTGGAAATAATCCTTGTTTCCTTTGTAAGAGATGTGAGGAAGTTTAGATGGGTTCAGTGACTTACCTATGGTTACACAGCTAGATAGTAGTAGATTTAGTGTCACTGACTTAGAGGCTGGAGATCTGGCCTCTACTAGGTTATATGTGCATCTCTCTAGGCCCTCTCTGCCACATGCATCATCCCAAGTGAAATATAGTGAGGCAGCTGTAAAACGTAACTGCCTAAATTAAGCAGAGTTGGATTAGATGTATGGTGCTGTAGTACATTCCAAAGCCAAAGGAGTTTGAAGAATATCAAGTTGGCTTTGCAAATTCATAGGATTTAAGGTAAAAGATCCTAATCCTTTTAGAGCTTTGGAATTTGTCTACTACACTATGTGGGAGTGAAGTTTCTGTCACCTACAATCATACATTCCTTTGAACTGTAACTGTCATTCCTGAAGTCTTAGTTAACTTATACCTTAAAATATTCACATATTACAAATAAATTAAAAGTTTATGAGCATTTTTAATATCACTCCCTTGTTTTAAGCATATACCAATTTTTAGCATAATCACATATTTATAGCTAACATAAATTCAAAGGAAGTGTGCATTTCTTTTAATACTAGCACAAATCAAGACATGATTGCCATCATTAAATCTTAATCTTCAGAGAATAACATCTCCACGAGGCTGGCTTGAAAACACTCAGATTCAACCAGTTTTTGAGGCTGTAAAAGAAGAAGAGTCAAATCTTAACGTCATAGGAAATGTTATTAGAAATAGAGTGAGTTCTACCTTGAATGACACATCTACCATTCAGAAACCACCAACTAGTTACAGCAAGTTTTATGAAAGAGCTAAGATATTTGCTTTACGATGAATCACCAAAATACTTGGCTCAAGAGACTTAAATCCAAAATACCAGGAAGATCTACAGACTAAAACAGGACACAGCAAGTGCAACACTATTCTCTTAACCCTTTAATTTAGAATCCCAGTGGCGTGAATGAACTAGAAGAGTTGCCTTACCTTTTCTTTTCAATCAGAACTATGGATTAAATAGAAAAATGTTGATGAAAAAAAAATTTTTTTTGAGACAGCCTCAAGCTGTCACCCTGGGGAAGAGTGCTATCGCATCACAGCTCACAGCAATGTCCCAACTCCTGGCTCAAGTGATTCTCCTGCCTCTACCTCCCAAGTAGCTAGAACTACAAGCGCCTGCCACAATGCCTGGCTATTTTTTGGTTACAGGTGTCATTGTCTGGCAGGCCGGGCTGGATTCGAACCTGCCAGCTCAGGTCTATGTGGCTGGCACCTTAGCTGCTTGAGCCACAGGCACTGAGCCGATGAAAATGTTTTAGGGAATTAAAAGTCAACCAACTTTCTGGCTATAGAATTTTTTGAGTGGCTTAAAAACATGAAAAAGGGCTTGGCACCTATAGCTCAGTGGGCAGGGTGCTAGCCACATACATCAAGGCTGGTGGGTTTGATCCCAGCCTGGGCCTGCTAAACAACAGTGACAACTAAAACAAAAAAACAGCTGGGCATTGTGGTGGGTGCTGGTAGTCCCAGCTACTTGGGAGGTTGAGGCAAGAGAATGGCTAAAGTCCAAATTTGAGATTGCTGTGAGCTGTGATGCTATGGCACTCTACTGAGGGTGACATAGTAAAACTCTTATCTCAAGAAAAAAAAAAGAAAGAAAAATACCCAGTGGTTAGATATTTGCATTATTTACTAATAGTTTACTGGGATCGTCCATGGAGATAATCTCTAAACAGCACTCTGAACACCACTGTGACTGAGATGAAATGTCAAGATCTTTTCAAATTTGAATCCAGAACGTGGCAAAAGAATTTGACAGAGTGAATTATAACCCCACCATATTTATTTTTTAGCTCCATTATATTTAAAGGAAGATACTCACTGTTCCATATTTAAGTAGTGTAGGCACTGCAGTTACTTTCAGTTTCTTCCTGAAGTCATTGTTTGGATCTTTCCAACTATTTCAGAAAGAAAGAGTGATGGTGAAAAAAAAATTTACTTGGTTTACTAGTTTGCTTTAATATTTGATATATTCCTCCATTTAGTCTTTTAATAATTGTTATAAACACTTAAAAAACCTTGAGGACTATGACTTACTCTGCTAGGTTTTCATTTAAAATATGACTATGATATAAATGTAAAATCAGCTAAGTTCTGAACTTAAATCAGGCCAAATTTATTGAATTACCCTTACTTAACTCGAGTGGGTAGTTTTAATTTGTATTTAATCGTTGCTAATTCGACTTATCAGACTTCACATTCAGAACTCGAGTCCCTGAGACCCTTCCTGCCTGAATCTTAGAGTCTAGTTAGTGCATGTGTCTGAAATACAGTATACAGTGCCACTTACTAAGGTTTTTCTCCTACTTGACAATAGATGAACACACATCCTTCACTAATATGCTTCAGCCCCTCTCGAACGACTGGTTCAGCTGTAAAAAAGTTGATATAAAGTAATTACACACCAGCTCTACGGTCAGATAGGCATTGGTAACAGTGATCCTCCCACCTTCCTCCAGTCTTAGTCAGTACTCAGACTTTGGCCTACAGCTGACTGAGGGCAACCTAAGTCATGTGTTCTCTCTGGTCTTAAGAGATACTGTAAAGGACCAAGTCTAGTCCTTACTGCCCCCACACCAGAGCGCCCACAACAATGAAGAGAATACGTATTTGCTGACTTTGAGACCAATGCACGTGTCCTGTGAGATGTTAACCATATTGGTGAAGCGAGAAATTTTAAAGAACTAGAGTCCAAGATCATCTGGGTCAGGTAGCAAAAAGAGACGCGCCTCTAGCAAGGCGGGAAAGTGCTTAAGAATGAGGACAACTGAGATTGCCCCGCGAAATCTCTGAGACCGAGATTCCCTCGATCTCTTTTAAACCCCACTTTCTGGCCTTATCCCCGTCCTTCCCACCACTTCCGCTGGGCAGCAGTCTTCCAGTGCTGGCCTCACCCTGCGCACAGTCGGGACACCAGCTTTTCCCTTCGGCGTCCTTAGAACCGGTAAAGTAGGCGAAAATGGTCTTCCCATTGTGCTCCTCCACAGCCTGGTTGAACTCCTCAAAGCCGGACACTTTCACCTCCTCGTACTGGGCCATCCGAACAGCTTACAGTGGAGTGCAGGAGTAATCTTCTGGTCCAGAGGGCTGTCGCGGGGCGGGGCCCGCGTTGGGCGGGGCGAAGCATTTTCCGCGTAGGCTAGAGTCGCGCAGCTCCGGCCAGAGACAACGCTGCTCTGACGTGTACGGGAGCCTCTGAAGCCCATAACTCATCCACGCTGGCTTACTGTTCTCGTTTCTCACCTCTTCTGGCGTTAGCTCTACTCTCAAACCCAGGCCTCTGCCCTAATCTCGTCCTAGCTCCGGCCGTCTGGGCTCTGGCTGCAAAACTTGCCTCCAGACAACACCTGGAGCCTTAACTAGCTTTAGAGCCTCAACGGCTCCCAAGTCGCTTTGCGCCTGTTGCTATGGCGACTGGGCTAGCCGCCGGAAGCGAGGCCTAGTTGGGGAGGGGTGGGGGTGCCCTGCCAGTCTCCCGGTAGTTGATCTTCGCCCCAGGCCAGGTGGGCTTGAGTCTGAGCTGGGGGGCGGGGGGGGATTCTGGGAAGCTGCACTAGAAGGCATGGACCTGGGGGAGAGGAGACCTTGACCAGGAGGATCTTGCTGTTCCGTCTCCCAATTACCTTTTTTTCGTGCTAGGCTTTAGTGGAGCCTGGGACTGGGGGGCGGGCGTTCAGGAATGGGCGGGGGTGGTGTGGGGGGCTGGGAGAGAGAAAGGCTGCGAGGGCTGGAGCTGTGTTTGGGTGAGAGTGTAGAGCAGCTTAGGGAGAGAGGTGGTAAGCCAGAAAGTGCCCCAGGGCTGAGGCGGCGGAAGGCAGGAATTGTCCAGGAGCTGTGAGCCAGGCAACTGGCCGGGGGCCTTTCCTAGGCTGCGCGGGAGCGAGCTGGCTAAGATGCCGGGTCGCTGCGTAGGGCCTAGCAGGTCGGGACGGGGAGTTCGGCGGCTGTGGGGAAAGAGGTCGGGTGCAGGGATGTTCCGAGGCCGTGGAGCAAGGCGCCGGGCAATGTCCTCGTTTTGGGAGACGTGCTGTGTGAGTGTAGAAAGGCTGCAGGACTGTCGGCGGCCACGGGGGAGGAGACAAGCAGTGCAGACAGCCGATACTGCTGGGGAGAATGAGGTTTCGGGAACACCAGGGATTGCAGACTCATTTGAGGCTGCAAGGGACCCTAGGGCTGTGTGGGTGAACGGCACAGTGAGCGATCCCGAGGTAGTGGGACCTGCTGGATATGTGTGGGTGACCGGGTCTGGGGAAGAGGAGTCAGAAGATAGAAGTCCCCGGGGCTGTGAGAGAAAAGGTCGTCCTGGATCTCTGGGGCATGAGAGCATTCTTCAACTGTGGTTGAAAGTGCAGGCTATGAGGGCAGCTTCAGGATGTGGGGAAGGAAGCAGAGTTGAGCTCCATCCTGTGCCTGCAGGAGAGGGACCAGTTGAAAGGGGTGTTCCTGGCCAAGCTTCCTGGATAGAGACTAGCCGTGGTGGTCTTACAGGACCTTGGGTGAAAGGACAGGCTAGGGTGTACCCCCGGGCCTCAAGACTATCCACTGCTCTGGACCAAGGGGAAGGTTGTGAGAGAGTCTCAGGCTTTTGTGGACCAGGGCACGCTGGGTGGGTGCCTCCTCCAGTGGATGTGCCTGGGATTGCCTCCCACCTGTTGGGGAGAGAACAGACTGCGGGGGTGCCTGGAGCTGTGGAAGAGATAGGCTATGGAGTTGCCCCAGGTCCTTGGGGAAAAGTACAGACTACAGGGGTATCTGGGGGCACAGAGTGGCCTGGAGCTGTGGGAGTGCCCCAAGCTGTGGAGGAAGAGATGGGTCATGGAGGTGCCCCAGGTCTGTCTGGGAGGGGGCAGGTTCCTGGGTCTCTGGCGCAAGAAGCAGTTTGTGGGGATATCCCCAGTTTATGGGGAAAGAAACAGGACACGGGGGTTCCTCAGGCTGTGGGGATCCCTAGAGGTGTGGAGGAGGAAATCACCTCTGTGGGTGTCTCAGGCATATGGCAGAGGAGACAGGCTGTGGAGGAGATAGGCTCTGGGGGTATCCCTGGCCTGTGGGGCACAGGACAGCCTGCAGAGGTACCTTGTGCTGCTGAAGAGGAAACTAGATGTGGGGGTGACCCTGGATTCAGGGAAAGGGGACTGCCTGTGTGGGTAGACACAGGCTCTGGAGGTGACCCAGGGTCATGTGAAGCTGTAGAGACTGTAGAGCTGTCTGGTCCTAGTGAGCAGGAGGCAGGTTCTGGGGGTGCCTCAGGCCTGTGGGGTATAGACCAGGCCATGGGAGTACCCAGGACCTTAGGGAAGAAGGAGACAAGTTGCCCAAGCGTCCCAGGGCTATGGAGAACAGGGCAGCCAGTGGAAGTGGCCCAGGCTATGGTGGTACCAGGAGCCATGGACCAAGAGACAAGCCATGGTGGTGTCCTGGGCCTGTGGGATAGGTGGCAGGCTCTGGGAAGGCAGCCAGCTGTGACAGTGTCAGGACTTGTAGGGGAGGAAACATGTAGTGGGAATGTCCCGAGTCTGTGGGAGAGGAGGCAGGTTGTGGGGGAGCGAGGAACTCTGGTGCCTTCAGTTTTGGGGGACCCTTGGCTCGGGGCTCAAGAAGCTGGCTGTAGAGGGGTATCCTGTGTGTGCAGGAAGAGGCAGGCTGTGGGACTGTCTGAGACAGTAGAGGTTCCCAAGGCAGCAGATTTGCCCAAGCACAAGTGTGCCCTAGCAGGGGTCCTCACTGGTGTGGGTGTGCCTGGGTCTGGAAAGGTGCCTGCTGCTCTGCGGGCGTCTGGTCCCGTGTGTCAGGAAGGCTGCTCTAGAGCAGTTTTGAACCTGTGGGAAAGGGCTCACGCTGCTGGCATACCTGCGGCTTCAGGGGGGTCTCTACCCTCTTCCCAGGCTCCAGAGGAGAGGTGGCCTTTGGGGGAGGATAGTGGTTCTGGGGCTTTTCCAGGACCATGGGGAGGGAGGCAGGGTATTGGGGTTCTTGTGGCTCCTGAAGTCTCTGGGTTTGTAGGGGAGGAGACTGGCTCTGGGGGTGTTCAAGGGCCTTGGGGAGGGAGACAGAGTGTCAGAGCTTCTGTGGCCACTGAGGTGCCCACAATTCTTAGGATTCCTGGTTCTCTGGAAGTAGAGACTGGCCCTGGAGGCTTCCCAGGCTCATTGGGAAGGAGACAGACTGCAGGAATACCCACAAATGGTGGGGTGCCTGTGGCTCCCAGGGTGCCCAGGTCTGTGTGGGAGGAAACTGGCTCTGGAAGCACCTCAGGCTTTTGCGGGGAGAGGGAGATAGCTGGGGAACCTGCAGATGCCATGGGTCCCACAAGGATGAGGATGCCTGCTTCTGCCAGGATGCCTGGACCCGTGGTGGAGAAGACCAGCTCTGAGGGAATCTCAGGCTTGTCAGGAGGCAGACAGACCTCAGGGGTCTCCATGGCTGAGGGGCTGCCTGGGTCTGTGGGGTTAGAGACACTCTCTGAGGGCCTCTTGGACCTATCAGGAAGAAGACAGGTTGCTGGGATGCCTGTGGCTCTTGGAGTTTCCATGGCCATGGGAGAGCCCATGGCTTCTGGGCTCCCTGGGCCAATGGTGGGGGATACTATCTCTGCTGACAACAGCTCAGGCATATGGGGAAGGAGACTGGCCACTGAGGTGACCACTGATGTATCCACTGTTGCCAGAGCTCGGGGACCTGTAGAGGAGAGTGTGGGCTCTGCAGGTATCTCAGGCCCGGGCAGAAGGAGACATGGTGGAGTATGCCCTGAGGCTGCAAGGGTGCCTCCACCTCTAGGGGTTCTTGCAGCTGTAGGAGTTCCCATGGTGGGGCGCACACCTGCTGCAGTGTGGGTGACTGGGTCTCCAAGCACAGAAGTGGATGTGGGTGTTTCAGGCCTGGCGGTGGTAAGGAGACAGGCCGCAGAAGGAGTAAGGGCTTTAGAGGAGGAGACAGGAGGTAGGAGTACCCTGGGACTGGCAGGGAGGAGCCGGACGATGGGGGTGTCTCACACCTGTGCTGGTGGGCCCAGGGTATGGAGCTGTCCAAGGTCTGTGGGGGAAGAAACAGCCTATGAGGATGTTACAGGAGTGTCAGAGAGAAGAACAGCTGTCAGGGTGACCCCTCTTCCAAGGGAGGAAATAGGACTTGGCCATTTCAGAGATCATCCACAGCAGAGTGGGAGGAGACAGGCTGGAGGAATGTCTGCAGTCAGAGTGAGGGGGCACAATAGGGGAGAGAATTCTGTGGGGGAGAACAGGTTGAGGGGGATGTTCTAGCAGTATGTGTGGGGGAGAAATTGGGGGGAGGTGTCCTAGGGCTCTGTGGGAGGTCGGGGGAAGGTTTGTCCTGGGTTGTGGTATGGGCTATAGGGGAGGAGATGCCCCAGGGTATGTAGGATGACAAATTGGGAGGTTTCCTAGAACAGTGGGGAAGGGACAGACTGTGAGGAGAGGAGGGCCCCAGGACCTTGTGTAGAGGACTAGATCAGGGGTGGGTGCATGCGTGTGTGTGTGTGTGTGTGTGTGTGTATGTGTAATATCATGTGAGGTTTCCTGTAACTGTGGGGATCACCTAGTTTTTTCCAGTAGAGACTGGACCATTATACCTCTGGCGCATGGACACAGTCAGGGGGCAAGTATTGACCATGTAAATGTTGCAGATGCCCTGGCCCCAATTCTACATACTCCATTCCATGGTTCTAGTCCCCTACCTGATGTCCAGGAAGTTGGGATGGCTTTGCTAATGTGCCGCTTCTCATCTGCTTTTTTGATGATGTGTCTACAGCCTTAGAAATAGGGACTCTTGGACAGCTGCCTTCATATTCCTACACATATATCTGTCTGTAAGCAAATCCAGTCTACAAAACTTGAGTTTATTCAGAAACTTAAGTTAGGGTTTTTTTTTAAAACCTTGAATATCCCATTTGATTTCTATAGGATTCTTTGAGAAAACAAATTCCCTAGTGCATTTAAAACTGGTTAGTTCACAGAGTATCAGCTCATTTCATAAAGGTTGAGTTAAATTGTCTGCTATGTTCAAAGTTTTATGTTCTGGGAAACAGAAGAGCAAGACAAGGCCCTTACCCTCAGGAAACCTTGTCTAGCTGGGAAGATGAGACATATATCAGTGGAATAGGTAAATACAATATGAGACAACGCTGTGATAGGCACCTGAGTGGCAGGGATAATGAAATGTCTATAAAGAGACTTTCATAGTAGGTAGTGGTGATAATGAGTATAGTCTTACAGCTTACTTAATGGTGTCATATCTTGTGTGTGTGTGTAAGATGAGGTGAAGATGGGGGAAATTGAAGATTTAGAGAGGTTCTTCATCTATTTATGGCAAATCTTGGCTCGAATCTAGGAATTCGGATCCTGCGGGTTTACAGAGTCATTCAGAGTTTTGTCCATTTGGGTTACTTGGCAGAGTGAAGCATACTGTTTTTGACTAGTGTTAGAATCCATTAATGTAGACTGTTAGTCCTTAGAATCACCCTGCTGGACAGTGCTAGTTTACCATAAAAGTGTTGGTTTTGGAATAATGCCTTACTGGATACCCTTGAGATTTGAAATTTGGAATAAAAAGACCAAGAGATTGTCATTAAAATAGTAAGTGTTCCTGTATTTCTTTGAAAATGAGAACTTCAAAATTGTGGTTGCTTTTATAAATTGAAGAGACTATCATATACCTGTCTTAAGTAATCACTGTTAGTATGAGGTTGCTACAGACTGCTTCTAGGATATTGTTATATAAGCATGGTATTGTGTTTTATCTATTCTGTTCCCTCTTTTGAACACTGTTGGTCTGAAATAGCTTTGTTTTGTTTTAGGACTGGTTTTAGGGAAGACTGTTGCCTCATGACAAGGCTGTCTCTGTTGGTTTACTCTGTTTAACGTGATGGGACCAAGCTGGCCAGCCTCAACTTGTGTTCATCTAACATCTAGTACCCAACTAGATGGGAGGAGTGACCCCATGAAACTTCAGACCCAGGTAGCTTTGTTTCTAAGATTTTTATTATGAAACATTTCATACATAAAAGTTGAAAGAAAAAGACATTGCTTTTGAATAACCTTCTAGATTAAGCAGTTGTTAACAATTTGTCATTTTTTTTCCTATCTACACAACCATCTGTCTCTCTAAAATGTTTGCAGAACCATTCCAAAGTTGCAGACGTCATGACACTTTACTTCTAAATATTTGAGAATACATCAAAAAGTAAATTCTCCTACTTCATTGTAATACCATTATCATACCTAAGAAAATGGGCAAAAAATTTCTCTAATGTTATCTAGTAAGCAGTCTTTATGCAACTTTGGTCAGTTGTCTCAAAACATCTTTTCCCCCAAGATTATATTAAGAATCTTCAAATATACACCAAAGTTGAGTTTTACGGTGATCATCTAGATTCCATTAATATTTCACTATATTATTTCATTGTATCTGTCATTTGATCATCCCTCTAGAGATCTATCCATCAGTCCATCTTGTCAACACATTTCAAAGTTAGTTTTAGATGTGAATACCCTAACTCTTTCTACATGCATATTGTACACTTGAATTCACTCACGATTCTTTCCCTGTAAATTTTACATCAGAAATGTTGAATACATTGAAATGTGTACATCTTATCACATTTGCTGAGTTTTGACAAATACATGCATATGTGTAACCCAAAGCTCTGTTTAGACACAGATCATTTCTGTTATCCTAGAATGGTCTCTTAATGTCCTTCCCCAGTCAAACCCTGTCCCTACCCTCCAAAGGCAACTATGGTTTGGATTTTTTCCTACTATAAATTTTTCCTATTCTAGAACTTTATATAAATGGCATCATAGAACATTTAGTCCTTGGTGTAAGACTTCTTTCACTAGGTATAAAGTTTTTCGGATTCATCCCTGTTTTTACATGTATCAGTGGTTTGTTTCTTTTTAATCTTTTTTTACTAATTCCATTGTATCAGTATACCACAGTTTATGATTCCATCCTCTGAATTTTCTTTATCCATTCATCTCTTGATGGACACTTAGGTTGCTTTTATTTGGGATATTGTGAATAGTGCTGCAAAAAACATGAGAATGCAGATATATCTTTGATATACTAATTTCCTTTCTTTTGGATATACCCCAGTGGGACTGCTGGATCACATGGTAATTCTGTTTTTTGAGGAACCTTCTTACTCTTCTCCACTGTGGTTAAAAAATGCATAAAGGAACATCATTTCAGAATTCAGGCCCAAAGCTGTCACATTCCCATCAATAGTATAATGTTCCCATTTCTCCATATCCTTGCCAGCAGCCATTATTACCTGTCTTTTAGATAAAAGCCGTTTTTACTGAGGTAAGATGATATTTCATTGTAGTTTTGATTTACGTTTCTTTGATGATTAGTTATGGGTTGAGCATTTGTTCATATACCTATTAGCCATTTGTATGTCTTCTTTTGAGAAATGTCTATTCAGATCTTTTGCCCATTTTCAAAACAGATTATGTTTTCTATTGTGTAGTTTCAACTTCTTGTATATCAGGGGTCCTCAAGCTTTTTAAACCGGGGGCCAGTTCACTGTCCCTCAGACCATTGGAGGGCTGGACTGCAGGGCTTGGGAGGAGTCAGCTGCTAAGCAGGACAGGCAGCAGTGGCAAAAACACCCGGTGGGCTGGATAAATGTCCTAGGCGGGCTGCATGTGGCCCACGGGTTGTAGTTTGAGGATGCCTGTTGTATATTCTGGTTATTAATCCCTTGTCAGATAGGTAGTTTGCAAATATTTTTTCCCACTCTGTGAGTTTTCTCTTCACTTTGTTGATTGTTTCCTTTGCTGTGCAGAAGTTTTTTTTTGAGACAGAGCCTCAAGCTGTCCCCCCTGGGTAGAGTGCTGTGGCATCACAGCTCACAGCAACCTCCAACTCCTGGGTTCAAGTGAGTCTCCTGCCTCAGCCTCCCAAGTAGCTGGGACCACAGGCGCCTGCCACAACGCCCGGCTATTTTTTGGTTGCAGCCATCATTGTTGTTTGGTGGGCCTGGCCTGGATTCAAACCCACCACTTTAGGTGTATGTGGCTGGTGCCTTACTTAGCCAGTTCAGCCACAGGTGCTGAGCCTGTGCAGAAGCTTTTTAGTTGGATGTGATCCCATTTGTTCATTATTACTTTGGGACTTTACTCAAGAAATCTTTGGCTAGACCAAAGTCTGGCATATTTCCCTAGTGTTTTCTATTAGCAGTTTCTTAGTTTCAGGTCTTACATTTAAGGTCTTCAATTAATTTTCCTTTCATTTTTGTGTACAGTGAGAAATAGGGGTCTAGTTTCATTCTTCTGCAAACAGATATCCTGTTTCCCAGCATCATTTTTTTAAGAGACTTTTTCCACCGTTATATGTTCTCGGCACCTTTGTCAAAAGTGGGTTGACTATAAATATGTGGATTTATTTCTGGGTCTCTCTTTTGTTCCATTGGTCTGTGTGTCTGGTTTTATTCCGGTACTGTAATGTTTTGGTTACTATCTCTTTATAGTATAGTTTGAAGTTACCTAATATGAGGCCTCCAGCTTTGTTCTTTTTGCACAGGATTGTTTTGGCTATTTTGTGGTTCCATATAAATTTTTGGATTATTTTTTCTGTTTCTGTGAAGAATGTCATTGGTATTTTCGTAGGGATTGCATTGACTCTGTAGATTGCTTTGGGTAGTATGGGCATTTAACAATATTGCTTCCTCTAATCCATGAGCATGGAAGATCTGTCCTTTTTGTGTGTCCTGTTCAATTTCATTCATCAATGTTTTATAGTTTTTATTATAGAAATCTTTCGCTTCTTTGGTTAAGTTTGTTCCTAGGTATTTTCATTTGTAGCTATGTTAAATGAGATTGCTTTCTTAAATTTCTTTTCAGATTGTTCAGTGTTGGTGTATAGAAATGTTACTGATTTTTGTATGTTGATTTTGTATCCTATAACTTTATTGAATTGACCAGTTCTAACAGGTATTTTTTGGTAGAATCTTTAGGTTTTTCTAAATATAAGATCATATCATCTACAAACAAGGATAATTTGACTTCATCCTTTAGAACTTGGATGCCCTTTATATCTTACTTTTGTTTAATTCTTTGGCTAGAACTTCTAGTACTATGTTGAATTAAAGTGGTGAGAAAGTGGTCATTCTCGACACATTGTAGAATAGATCTTAGAGGGAAAGCTTTCAGTTTTTCCTTGTTCAGTATTCTGTTAGCTATGAGTTTGTTGTATATGGCTTTTATTATGTTTGAGGTATGTTCTTTCTGTACCCAGTTTGTTGAGAGCTTTTGTCATGAAGGGATGTTAAATTTTATTGAATGCTTTTTGGCATTGTTTGAAATGATCATAGGGTTTTTGTTCTTCATTCTGTAGATATGTATCACATTTCTTTT